ATTAGAAAAAATCCTGAAAATATTTACAGCTATTTTCTTCTATTGTTATATCATTTATTAAAAGTTTGAAAACACTCACGTTTAAACTTCGTGATTGCGTGTAAAATCTTGGTGTTAAGTTTGTCGCTTTCAGTAATATTGAGGAGAAAATTGGTTATTCTTGAAATCGATGGTAACCTAACTACTACTTACCCATGAATTGCATTTTTAAAAGTAGTTAAATATCAATGCTTCAGAACTTTTTATGAAGAATATTGGAACGGTATAATTTTAGAATTTATTGTGCATAAACGTACAGCAGTTTATCAGATTAGTAATTTATATGTAAAACAGTATTAAAATAAAATTATTCATTACCCAAGGGTTTTATTATATATATATTCTTATTTTGAGCTTCTTTAATTCACCGTAAGGGCGCTATTAAAGATACAAGGCTTCTTATGGAAATTTTACGTAATTTTGTAAAAATAATAAACAAACTTGTTTATTCTTAAATAAAACACAAAATATATTATTGCATTTTTTTCTAAATAAGTTTCGCATGTTTTAATTGATAAATTATTTAATTTTACCAACATAAAATGCAATTTAGGAAGATATGACCATTGAGTAAAGGAATATAACAAAAGAAGCAACGCTTATGCACCGACCGTACCTTGCAATAGATGGCAAACACGGTCATTTGGTTTTCAGAATCTTAGTCGACTGTTTATTGTCATTTAGTAAATACTTCGTAATAGAGTTCTGGGCGATCGATATCGGCAGTTTTGATTTTCATAATTTGTGACAATGAAAGTTAGTGTTTTTGTTAGTTGTTCTAATAGCAGTAGAACTAACAAAAACATCAGTTTTTTTAAGTTTCCTGTAAAAGATAACAATCAGGCAGTAGAATGGCAGAAAAATTATGGAAATATTAAAATTGCGCTTATGGACGTGGGTGATCTGACGAATAAATTAATTTGTGAAAATTATTAATCAAAAGTGAGCTCTGTGAAGCTGCCCCCACTCCTCGAAATTCGAAAATTTCAGTTTTAGAAGCGGCATACATTTTTTGACCATCCTCAGAAACCTAAATATTTGCCCGCTTGTCTCCCGAAGTTAGTTAATATTTTTTAAAACCGACTGCACTCTAAGACTAAATAATTTTTGACCATGTTTGACCACCTCTTAGATTTTTTTAAGACCCCTTAAAATAATTTAAAGGTGGTAAATTATAGAAAAACAAGAGTTCTGGGATGAATTTCAACATTGAAAGATAGATCAATGGTCAGAAAGGCACATTGGGATCCAAAAACGTTTAAAATTATTTATCGCCGTTTGATGACTTCCGAAAATATCTTAAAAGACCCCAGAGAGGTTAAAAATTCAAAGAAAACATTCCCCAATCCAATTTCTAGTTCAACAAAATAGTCAATCGACATAAGGACATAATAAATATCCATAAAGGTTTAAAATTATGTTTTGACGTTTGACCACCCCCTTAAATAATTTTAATGCTCCCAAGTAGTGTGAAAATTCGAAAAATAAAATTTGGAAATCGAATTTCGGCTTAAAAAAAAAGTCAAACGACATAAGTTTACAATAAAGATCCATTACGATTTAGAAATATGTTTTGACGTTTGACCACCCCTAAAATAATTTTAATGGTGTGAAAAATCGAAAAATAAAATTTGGAAATCGAATTTCGGCTTGGAAGAAATTGTCAAACGACATAAATGCACAATAAGGCCCCATAATGGTTTAAAATTGTTTCACTTCATATTTTAGATGCATTACTAGAATTATTAGAAATAACATTGATGTTTTCCGTTTTTAACCTAAACTTATTGTATATAGAAATCTAGCCATAGGATAAGATTGAGCTACAATAAAAAGTATTTGACGGTACACCTGTTCGTATCAAAAAAAGTTTTGAAACGTTCCTCGTATTTGCAAAAACATTCGCAGCACTTAAGGTTTCTAAAAGAATGTTTCCGTGACTTCTCGTGCTCATGTATTAGATTTTCCTTTGTCGTACTTTACTATCCGGGTTGAATTTCTTTTATTTGAAAGTTAAATATGTTTATAACAAAGTTATTACGTTCTTTTTTTATTACATATATTGTTTTGAGGATATTGCCAATTTTATTAGTCTTCTCACTTTTTATTTGACTAACTTTTTTCCTTCGCATTTTTAGGTTCTTCTTATTTTGGATCTGTCTAGTCATTCGACTGTTTTATTACTTAATATATAATAAATAATATTAAAAGCATTTATTGCCCAACAGTTTCCCATTTACAAGGCAAATTTAACAATATAAAATTAAACTTAGAAAATAAATAGGATAAGTAAATAAAAATATCTGCCAAACTATGTTTTTACTTTAACTATTATTTTATTTTAGATTACACGTTAAACGTATCATCAGTGTCTGTATTGACGTTAGAGAGGTACGTATAGTAGTGTCTCTTCAACAATACACAACTTTATTTTTTCGACCGAACTATAAGTAGGAAAAGTTTATTAAAAAGTATTAAAAAAAAGTTACAGAAAAATTATAATTCATTTTTTAATTTAGTAAATTTATACTAACATTTATTTAACTGTTAAAAATACATATTTACTTTTGGCCTGAGAACTCAAAAGACACACGGGGGTTCATAAAAACAACTTGTAATGGCACACCGAACGACCTAACCGAACGAACGCAAAGGAGGCCTAATGAATATGCATGTTCTTGAAATATTATGTTAAAATATACGGCTACGTGTGTGTTGCGAAGCGGAATGCAAATTTTTTAAAATTCTATCATCAAAAATTGAAATTGGAGAATCTGCATTGAGCATTATTCAATCGCGCTACCGGTCACAGATGTAGATAATTGAATTCTGATCATACATTGTTTATATTTGAAAGTCAGTCGGTCTCAATAGATATCGATTTGAAGTAAGTTTAATTTAACTCTGTTGAAATTTTTATTTTCATTGCAACTTGAGCTACGGATTTTTTCCTACATTATTTTTCTGTGTAACTGTGTGAATTATAACAGAAAAATAGATTATTTTGACTTAAAACTCAGCAAAATATCTTGGTATATTATGATACAAATTCAGATTGAATATTTTTATTGAACGATTGTCCAACTAGACGAAAAAATTAAATTTAAAATTTTGGCAGAAGCGCAAAATATTTGATGGTGGAGGAACATTGTTATTTTAAACTAATAAATATTTTAATGGCTAAAACAGTCATCTTAAAGAAAACATTAAAATAAAATAATAAAACTAAAACTTGTCAAATTACACATAATTGGAAATTATTTTTCTAAAATGGACCGTAACGGAGAAATTCAAAAAGAAGTATGTATATAGAATAGCTTCTTTATTTTAAATTATGGTGGAGGAACCTTGTTATTTTAAACTAAAAAATAGTTTTATGGATAAAATAGTAATCTTAAAGAAAACATTAAAATAGGATAATAGAACTAACACCTATCAAATTACACACGATTAAAAAATATTTTTCTGAAATGGACCGTAACGGAGAAATTAAAAAAAAACGTATGTATATATAGAATTAACTTTTTTATTTTTAATTATGGTGGAGGAAACTGTTATTTTAAACTAAAAAATAATTTTATCACTAAAACAGTCATCTTAAAGCAAACATTAAAATAGAATAATAGGACTAAAACCTATCAAATTACACACGATCGGAAATTATTTTTCTAAAATGGACCGTAACGGAAATATTCAAAAAAAGTTTGTATACAGGGTGGCTCACGCTCAACGGGACGGAGCTTTATGGGAAAACGACCAAAGATATAAAAAATTCGTTTGGGAGGAATACGTAGGTTACAGACGGCTACAATTTAAAATTTGTTAGATGTATACAGGATGTCCCACATAAGAAAAAAAAATTAGTTCATTAAAAATTATTCAAACAAGAGTAAACAATTAATTTCTGGGAGACTTTTTTCCTTAAAAATTCAAATAAATCGAAAACTAATAATAACAGTAATAGGGAACCTTTAGTTAACTGACATTATTTTTGATGTAGTTTTTAATTCTAAAATAAAAAACAGGGTGTTCCATTAAAAATAATATAACTTTGTATATTTTCTCTTATGTGGGAGTAGTAAATATTTATCTTATCCGTAGTCATAATCTAATTTTAAACAGTTTTAAATACTGGTATCGAAAAAGATTTTACATTGCAATAAGTAAATACAGAATTTTTCCTGCAGAAGTTGAAACTGTATAAAACTTCTGTATTTACTCATTGCAACGTAAAATCACGCCCTATGTTACCTATTCCTTGTTCAATTATTTAATAACGATAAATCTGCATTTTCATTTATTTATATATCCCATTACCTACTTTAAATATTCCTTTTATTGATATTACTCTTAGACTTCCTACATTACTGAGTTTTTGTACAAGAGCCAAGAGCATTTCCGAGCTAATATTATTTTAATAATAATAGATGGTTTGCGATAAAACCTTTTTGTTCCGAATCTAATGTTTTATGTATGAGCATGAATGCAAGATTTTGCCAAGAGCATGAACCGTAAGAACTATCTACGAAATTTTATTATTTAGCCACAAATTCTTGACATTCTTATGAAAATAGAAGCAAAAATTTCACAAAGTACGTTTTTACGTTTTTATTGGTAGGGCTTGCATTTTTATGATCTCGTAATTTCTAACTTTAACTTATGATAAAATTCTAAAAGCTTTATTCGGGATTTTGGGATAAACCCTAGCGGTTTATTTAGTGCTGTAGTGATAGTATTTATTATAAAAGATGCTGCTGCGATTTATAACTATTCTTAGACTCAAAAATATGGATCACTTAAATAAATTATACAGTTAGAAATGCGCCATATATAAATAAATCGAGAATTACTAGTCAAAATGAAGTAGTGTGTTTAATATATGTTTATTATTATTGTCTTTTACACTATATCATTCAAATGAACTCTATAAAAGATAAAAACATTAAAAATTATTAACTCACCTGCGACAACAACTTGAAATATACACGGATCCTTCTGTTTGCCGATCTCATTTTCTCCATAGCACAGCAACGTTCCATAATCCAAATCAGAAGCTGGTGTATAATTTAACCTAGAAGATGTTACTTCGTTGGTGAACTTATCCGGTGGGACGTCACTTTGATCTCCGCTGTTATTAAACGTCCAATGGAAAGCGACCACTGGTGGATGAGCGTCAACGCTACACCTGAGAATCACCGTTTCCTGTTTGAGAGCACCGTAGAGTTCTTCGCGGTCTTGAACGCATATTGGTGCATCTGAACATAAATAAAGATTGTTAGTGTTCGGCTAATCTATGTTGTTCAAAAGCACAATTTGTTTGATGGTGTAGATTTAACTCAAATATATTGGAATCGTTCATGTCAACCCCGGTCAAATTAATAGTTCGTTGTTGAGTAAATACGACTCAAAAACTAAATGCTAGAGTTTGGAAAGATGCAGATAGTTACATGCGAGTAGACAAGTCAACGGTGGGTGCAGTAATTCTACGAGCCACTTGTAGAATTAGAAAGAAAAATTAAACTATTTAAAAGGAAAGCTTTTATGGTGCGAATAATACACAGAAGGCCAAATTGGGTGTTATTTACATTTCAAATCTTAAATTAAACAAAGGTGGTTATATAAATAGGAAGATGTATTTCGCAAATACAATAATTGATGACTAAAAGAAATCTGTAAGAATCATGTTGTTAGAGAAAATTGGTTAGGACAAAGTCATTTAAAGAGAACTGAAAGAAAGAAGACTGTATCTACTTTAGATAAAATACCTTAAAACAGTGGTCGCCAAACTGTCGATCGCGAGCTACCGGTAGCTCGCGGAGGCAATTCTGGTAGCTCTCACAACGATTTTAATTTAAAAAATACAAACTGCAAAAATCAGAGAAGCTTCCGAAAATTCCACAAAAAAATCTAATTGTCATAATATTAAACATAAACAGTGGCAACGTTGCGGTGAGCGATCTGCCGCTGACGCCATCAAGCTAGAATCGGCTGAACCCACCAGCCGGACCAGCGCGTTAGTGTTCGAGAACGATTAGGATTGCTTTGAACGGGATAAATACGCACGGCGCGACGACATTGCGCTTAGTTTAAAACTGAACGCGTAACCAACGTCCAGCGGTTGGGTTAGTATAGAACAACAAAAAATAATATTATGGCAAGCAGTTGTAAGAAGGTAATTCGGAATGGGAAGAACAATACTTTTTTACAGAAGTTAAAGATAAAAATGTGTGTTTGTTATGCAATACTTCGGTCTTCGTTGCTAAAAAAGGAAATATTGGGAGACATCATAAAACTGTACATTCTAAATTTAAAAAATCATTCCCACTACATTCTGCCGCCAGAAAGGAGAAACTGAAACAGTTAAAAAGCAGTTAATTGGACAACAATCAATATTTTTAAGAACAGTCGACAAAAATAAGGCTGCAACTGAAACATCGTACCGTGTGTCCCAGATAATTGCACAAAAAAGAAACCTTATGAAAACGGGGAAATGATAAAACAGGCGTTTTTAGAAGCTGCTGATTCGTTATTTGCCAACTTTAGAAATAAAGACGAGATAGTTTCAGCTATAAAATCTATGCAACTTTCTGCCAATACAGTGATGAGACGTAGAGAAATAATGAGCAATGATATTTGTTTACAGTTAAGAACTGACTTAGATAACTGTGTTTTTCACTTCAACTGGATGAATCAACAGATGTCGTTGACACTGCCCAGATGGCCGTGTTCGTCAGGATGGTTTTTAGTGATTTTACGATTAAAGAAGATCTTTTGAAGTTTATTCCACTGAAAGGACACACAAGTAGACAGGAGTTGTTTTCTCATTTAAAAAATATTATTTCTTCCGAGAAAATTCCAATATCGAAAATGGTAGGCTTGACAACCGATGGCGCTCCAGCTATGGTGGGTTGTGATAAGGGTCTGGTGGCGTTATGTCGTAAAGATGAAACTTTTCCGCAATTTCTCTGTTACCACTGCATTATCCATCAGCAAGCATTATGTGGAAATTTCCTGAAACTAAACAACGTTATGAAACTGGTGGTAAAAATTGTGAACAAGATTAGAGCTCAAGCGTTACAAAGATTATTGAAAACCTTGGCCGATGAAGTTAACTGTCAATACGGGGACCTACTCCTTCACTCTGAAGTCCGATGGTTAAGTAAAAGACGGGTGCTGAAACGTTTTAATGATGTCCTATCTGGCATAGTTCAATTTTTCAAACAACGCGATGAACCGACTCCGGAACTAGAAAATTCAATCTGGCTTAGAGATTTTGGTTTTCTCGTGGACATTACAGAGAAATTTAACGAACTTAATTTGCAGCTTCAGGGAAGAGACAAAGAACTAGCGGAAATGATTTCTGATATAAAAGCATTTATCAAAAAGCTGGAGTTTTGGGAACAAAACCTAATTAACAGCGATGCCAAGTATTTTCCTATTCTTTCAGAAAAAATGTCTCAAAATCCATTAGAACCCTATGACAGCAAATATCATGTAGAAATAGTTTCTACCCTGAAGAATAACTTCAAAAATCGTTTTAAGGATTTCAACGAAATGGCTTTAGTAGCGCAGTTTGTTGTTTCACCCTTTATGGAAATTGATATCCAACAGTTTGCAACTTGTGTTGTGCAGAACTTTGGCGAAGACATCGCTGCAACAGAAATGGAAGTAATTGAGTTTCAAAATGATTTAGCCTTAAAATCGTTAGTCTCAAGTACCAAATGTATCTGGCCTATTGTAAATAAAGACAAATATTCAGTTTTATGCCGTGTTGCCTTGAAAGTGAAAGCATTATTCAGTTCAACCTATTTGTGTGAATCTTCTTTTCCAATATGAAGTTTATTAAGAACAAATATCGCAATCGACTTACAGATGAACATTTGGATAATTGTATTCGAATGGCTGTATCAAATTATACTGTAAACATTAAAAAAATTATCGATGAGTTTGAGTATCAGCCTTCTTATTGAACGTGCTTTTTTATTTTTTAATGTTTATGTTCATGATAGTGCGTTACTTTTTTGTTGTTATTATTAACTATTTTTAAATCTTACGTGACATGCCGTTGTGGCTGGATAAAAGTTTGTGTTTATTTTTCAAACACCTTCGTTTGGTAGGTAGGAATGTAGCTATGAACAAGTACGTACTAGTAATATTTATTTATTTTTTTTTTGTATATTTTTGGCAAAAAACAGGCAGCTCCATTTTTTATGTTTATTTAGTAAAACATAGTATTGACAATATTTACATGAACTATATACGTAAAAAATTCTATTTCTACATGCTTTTCCGCAGAAAAAAAGAAAATCTTATAAAAAAAAATTTGAATTTTTTAGGAACTTTTTTGAATTCCCATAAATTTGTAAAAATGGAGTTACCTGGTTATTATATCCACCCCTTCAATTATTGTCTAGAAACAGGGCCGACTAGAGGGGGGGGGGGGCAGCCAGGACTAATTCCCGGGGCCCGGACTCAAATGGGGGCCCGGCAGCGGTATAAGGGGGACCCGGCCAGCGGTGGTGTTTGTGTTCAGAAGAGGGAGGGCGTTCTTAGTTAAAGACCTGTTTTTTTTAGAGAAATTTAAGTATAGTATGATACATTTTTGCTTCAGGACTTTTTTTTATTTTGAGAAATTCAAGTAGAGGATTATAAATTTTTGCAATTGTCGCGGGGCCCGATCTGGAGAATTGTCCTGGGGCCCGGTCTGGCTCTCGGCGGCCCTGTCTAGAAATACTATACTGACATAAATATATCCAACGTTAAAATGAATCAGACATAATCGATTTACTATCACACTACTACGAACTTAGTATTTCCTCTATAAATATAAAAGATCCGGTAATTCTACCACTGAAAGCCATTATAATAATGCAGCTCTGACGGCAACAATGGCAGCAATTAATTGTATTTAAAATTTTATTGATGTATTCCGTAAGACCCCGTTTTCCCGTAATGCGCCATAAAATTGTAGAATCTATTTCACTCAAATGGAAGTGAACAATTTCATGGAAAATGGTTTCAGTTCAAATGCTTTTATTTCCATTATTCGAAATGGCAGTACTGTTAGCAGTCAGCTTTTGACTGATGGTTCGAGTTTTTATTTTGCTATTCACTTTTATTTTTTGTTTTAATGACATAGAATGAAAATCCATTTAATAGAAAAGGCAAAAATGCTAAACATGATGGTGAGTAAAACTGATAGGTATTTTAACAATGTGTAGTAATCCTGTCTAAATAGGCACAAAAGTGTTGAAAGTGTGAAATAATTCCGGTGCAACTGATTTTTTGTGTGAGCCTTCACATTATTGTTCTAAATCGAAATGTTAAAAGTTCCCATCGATTGGTTTAGCGCTATAAATTGTTCAAACAACGATACTTTCTTTCTATATCCTATTACTAACAATGAGCCTAAATATTATACATGATTTGTCAAATAGTATGTCTATGTGGTTGGCAACAAAATGTTACAAGTGTTCGCAGAATGTATCTGTGTACTAATTGGGATAATTATAAATAACTGTTTAGTTTTATTAAAATGTATGGTTTATTTGTATATATAGACGAAATATAAAATCAAAATGCTACTATTCATCGATTCTACAAAAGAATAACTCATTTTAATGTATATTTAAATTCAATAACTGACATATTAGTTTGACTGAATTGTCACTTACATATTTAATCCGATAGATGTTTACTAAGCTCGTGTTCTTGTTGGATTTGTAACATTTTACTTAGACCCCAATTCAATATAAATACATTTTGAGTTGACCTTTGTATAAATTTAAATTTTTTATAGCTATTCCAAAAAAAAACTTAATCTTAATTGTACTTTTTAGTCAAACAAAAAAGATTTACGAACCGTGACGCCCTTTGCCAAAAACCCATTGAAAAACTTTCAAAATGCTAATGTCTTCTTTGAAAAGTTTTTCACTCATTGGAAACTGAATCCATTATTAGCATAAAAACAAAATTAAGTTTTTCTTTTCTTTTAACGAGAACTCATTTCCTCAAACAAAATGATCAATTAAGTCATTTTCTTGGAATTAAAAATGGAATGGCGATAATTATTTTTGGTGTTATCTGGTCTTGTTTTCAGTCCCGGTCTTTATTTTTTGTTGACGGTACATTTATATGTACTTAATATTTGTTTTCGGAAATCACAGAAACAATATATTACAAATAGAACTAGAAAACAATTATAATGATTCGAGTATATCAGTTGTGTTTATTTTTATTTTACACTATACCTATA